AATCCTACTTCCGTAGTGATACTGCCTCGGAAACCCAAGGAGGGGTCGCTATGAGTCAGGGCTGACTCGACGGCACATAACAACAACAACAAAAAAGGGGCAGTATCTCCTCTAACCCCACAAGAGGAAGACAGAATCACCATCAGTAGCCCAAGGCCTATTCCTGGGAGGACATATATGCTGTCTCCCTCCAACCCTTTCACCAACCCTGACACCAACCATTCCTCCTGCAGCACCTTCCACTTCTCTACTGGGTTTGATAATTGGCTGCAGTGGCCACACAGAAGTCACAGATTATGGGATTTATTAGGGAAGCAACAGGATAAAATTCAAGTTCAGAAATGCCCACAGTCTCTTGCAGCCAGCCATCTCACTTAGCAGCTGGCAGTCTCTCTCTCTCAGCAATGTCTATCTCTCATGTCTCTCTCTCAGCAGTGCATGGCTCTCACATCTCTCTCTCAGCAAATGCATTTCTCTCAGCAATGTGTCTCTCAGCCAGAAGTGAGAGATTCCTTGATGTCCTGCTGCTTTTTGCACACCTCATGGAGATGTCTGATTGGCATCTCAAGTGTAACATTCTTAGCACTGAACTTCTGAGATTTCCTCTTTCCAAAATCTGTTCCACTTGTACACTCCCTTTTATGAGTAAATTGCAGCTCCTTTTTTTTTTTAACCCTGTTTGCACATAGTCATTCTGAACTCTCTTCCTATACACCATTGGCTTTATCTTTAAAATGTATCTGGAGTCCAAATATTTTACCACTCAAGGCTCCAACATTTCTCTTTTGCATTTTAATTGATTTCCTCTTTTTTAAAAAAAAAAAAAAAAAAAACGTTGCCTCCCCTGCAACTTTTACTGAGCATAGCAGCCTATGTGTGTCTTGTAAAATGTAGTTCAGATCATCTCACCACTGCTTAGATGCCAAGGGCCTGCTCTCTTACACACAGTGAAAGCCCAGGTTGTGAAAATGGCCTGGAAGGCTTATATCCAGCCTCTGTGACCTACTGGCCCCTTGACTGCAGCCCTTCTTCCTCCATGCTGTGACTTGGACACATCAGTCACACATTGGCCTTAGTGACTCGGCACTTGCTATTTCCAGATGGCTGTATGGCTTGTTTCCAAACTTCGTTCATTCTTTTCTCAAATTCTGCCTTCTCTGACCACACTATTTAAAATTACAGCTCCTCCTCCAGCTGACCCAATCCTTTTCTTCTGCTTTATTTTTCTTCATAACATTATTGCCCCTTACATTCTGTATAGTTTATTTATTTTACTTATTTTTTTTCACCACAGAAGTGAGCTCTACAGGCCCTGGGGTTTTCTGTTTCATTCTGGCCATGCCTCTTGTCTGGATACAATCTGTTGGTTGAAGGGATGAGCCAGTGAATAGGGGGCTTTCATCAGGAACTGCAGATCCTCCTTTGGCTAGTACTAGCACCTGCTCTGTGCTAGCATGCTTTTTGTCTCCGTTGTGTTTTCTTCCACTAATTGGAACTGCTTAAAAGTAGGAAACTTTATTTCTGTGTCCCTTGAACAGTGCCTGTTATGTGGTTGGCATGCAATTGAATGAATGAGGAGAAAGGTTCTTGTCACCCGGTAGGATTAGTTAGAGGACCAGAGCCCAAGTCTCCAGTAATGAGACCCAACTGAAGGGAGAAGGAATCTAGCTCTTCTCTGAGCTAGACTCTCCTTTCCACATGGTGGCACTGCATCCATGTGGCTGGAGCCTCTGGGAAAGGCTGACTTTTGAGTGCTTTGTAAGAGAGAGTCCTTTGGATGTTGGTGCAAATTTTCATTGCTTCTGCTGTCTGCTAATTGGAGAACTCCTGTGGATTCTGGGTTCCTAGAAAGGAAACTTGTATTCTCAGTCTCCTCCCTTCTTCATCTCAGCCCTACTGCTCCCTGAGGCCCCTGGCCTCCACAGCAGCGCTTGCTACCTGCTTGTTGTTGTTGTTAAGTGCCGAGTCATTTCCGACTCATAGCGACCCCATGCACAGCAGACCCCATGCTACCTGCTAGATGATATGTTAAAGTCAATTCAAGTTGTAGTTAAAGCAATACACTCCTGTAGTTTAAAAGTAAAATAATAGAAATGTACTTATGAAAAAATACAACATTGCCCTGCCTCCTACTCCCACTCCTCAGAAATTGCCATTTTAAACTAAAAAGTTTTTAAAAAGCTTTTCTTCTGGTATTTTCCTTCACATTTCTAAATAATATACATATAGTACTCTGTATTTGCCAATTTAAAATCTGTTGACTTCTAATGTCAGAGTAGGGTTTAGTTCTTTTTTACTACTCTCACTGTACTACTGTACTCCAGTAGAGGTGTTTCACAATTGTGATTTAAATTCATAGTCTATGTAATTGATAAGTAAATATTATTTACTGCTGAACCAAGAAGTGTATCAGAGTAATGCTTCTGTACAATATTTGTGAATCCTGGAGTTTTTAATGTGCTTAGTTTTCAATGTAATTATTCTACTTCTTTTCCTTTTTTCTTTTCTTCTCTTTTCTATCTTTGCCTCTCTTTTAAACAAATGCTTTACCAAAGATCTGCCAAACACATACCACAGTTAATTTTCAAATGTCTCTAAACATCAGAATGTATATCAGGTCAGTGTTTACTTTCTGAAGACCTCACTTCTGTGTCTCTGCTCTGCAAGACTTATCTCCATGTCTTTCTTGTGTTGAATCCACTGTGTTTCCAGGAATTTTGAAGGCTTTGTTCCATTATTTGCTAACATCCAGTGTTGCTGCTGAAGAACCAATGGCATTCTGATTCCTGAGCCTTTTATATGCCCTGAGTTTTCCCTCAGGTTTCTGGAATCTTTTAGAATTTTCTTTTTATCCTTGGTATTCTGATATTTCACAATGATGTTCTTTGTAGTAAGACTTTTTTCCCTCTTCATTGGCACTTCTCTGGAGAACTATTATCAGTAGTGGGAAATCCTGTCATTGCATTTTCTTTTTCTCTAATCTTTTAGTCAGTTGTTAAAGCATTCTGCTGCTAACTAAAAGGCCAGCAGTTTGAACCCACCAGCCACTCCATGGAAGAAAAATGAGGCAGAAAAAATCCTTAAAGATTTATAGCCTTGGAAATCCTATGGGGCAGTTCTGCTCTGTTCTGTAGGGTCCCTATGGGTCAGAATTGACTCAATAGCCATGGGTTTTTATTTGTCTATTACACTTTTATATCGATTATCTAAGTCTCTTTTCTATCTCTTTGCCTTTTAGTTCTGTTATCTGATGGATTTCTTCAACTTTATCTTCCAATTCTTGTTATTTCCTAGATCACATTTTTCTTGAATATTTTCTTGTAGCGTACTTTTAATAGCTACTCTCTTAATCTCTCTCTGAGGATATTTTACTTTTAAAAACATTTTATTTGTGTGTTTCACTGGTTCTCTTTACTCTGTTTCCCCTTTGTTTTGTCAGCTGAGGCCCTCATGTGAGGGGAATTGACACTTGATCGAGCAGTGATGTTTAAAAATTAGGTACTAAAAAGCTACCTGGGAGCTTTGTGTTGTAAGGTGAAGGCTTATTGGCTAGTGTGCTTCTTGTAGGTTGATTTGGTAGGGGTGGCTGCTTCACTGGGGGGAAACCCAGATTTTTATGTGTGGAAATATTATTTTTAATGCTACTATGTTTCTTCAGAAAAGAACATAATAGTCTTTCTGTTGATGTCCTGGGAACAGGTGGAGGAATGGGCCAGGATCTCATATTTCAGATGGCCCCATTCTCCTGGTTCTAGTGTTTCTTCCCATATTTTCCTCCCACATTTTCTGTGCCTGATGTCTCCCAGCCTAGAGCCACTGTGGTTCCATTTTCCCAGAGGGATGTGGCAGGGAAGGGGAGGAGGGCTTGACCACATACCTCATATCTTCCCTGGTACAGGTACCTTAGAGGCAGGGTGAGGCACTGGACCAAGGTGGGGAGTTGGGTATGACTCTTCTATTCTCTCAGGCCACTTTCTACCCCTCTATACTTTCTCAGTCTCCCAAGATTTTTCTTGGATTTTTTTCTTCACTGATGTCTCCTAATCAGCTCTTTTTCTTTGTGGCCTTATACCTTTTCATTCTTGTGCTTTATGTTAGTAGGATATCAGGAAGGATAGGTGACAGATGTTTGTGTTAAGTTAGCCATGATGATCCTACTGACTTTGGGACTTCTGCGCAGTTAGTTTCAGACAGTCCTCTTTTATCAGGGGTTTCTGATTTAACGTGAAGAGGTGTCTGGATGTAGGGTCATACCCCCTGGATTGTGGTCCCCTTGGTAAGGCAGCTGGAGAACAACAGATTGAATGTCCAATTGGCCTTGTTTTGCATGCCTGCTCTGTTGCTGACCAATTGTTATTTAACCTCCTGAGCCTCAGGTATTGCTTGCTGGTTTTTAATCACTTGTCGTAAGGGACTTATGTCCTATAGAGGAATGTTGGGGTAGCCGCTCAGTCCACGGCATGACCTCTCAGTTCCTGGAGCCCAGGCTAGGCTGGTGTACAACAGACTAATGTCAGGCACAGGCAGGGGGCCTGAGAGTATGCTCTTATTCTGGGCAGACTGAGGAGACATGGCTACTGGCTAAGCCCAGCGTGCCTTCTTGAGCTTGCATTTCACTGATGGGAAGCCATTTAAAATGAACACAGTACAAAACTATCCCTTGCTTAAGAAATAAAAGGGGAGTCTTCAGAGATTTACCCATTTAGATTGTTGCGTTGTACTACATGCTTATGTATAAAGAACAGGTCATACTCTGGGCCCACAGAAGAACAATTAGCAAGAACGCACACTCCACTTGCAGTAGTTAATCAAGATCAGGTGCTTAGTAAGTGGCTGCTATATAAAGTCTGGGCTAAGTGGTATCATTCCTAGATGAGAAGATGCATCTTCTGACATAGGAGGAGCTGACTTCTACCTGGAAATGGGAATCAGTGTTACAATCAGTTCTTCAATTGTGCTGGAGAATTGAGAGTGGGTGAGTTAATTCAGAAAGCCCTCTGACTTTAAGACAGCTTTTTGTTTCTCCTTTTCTTTTACAGTTCTGGCCACCATTAACTTACAGTCGCAACATGAGCTACACTTACTAACCACATTTCTCTTAAATACCCAGGTGAGTTTAGTTCAGGGCAGTGCTTGCCCTGTTTCGCATGAAAGCAGGGGTTCTCGCCAAGCTAAATCAAGCCCCCTTATAGGATGACTACAGTTCTTGGGTGTCTTCCATTGTGCTCAGGGTTCACAGATGGGGAGAGAAGAATTTGTAGCTTGCTGTGCTCTTAGGAAGGGAAACAGGTTAAAGCTGTTTTGAGGTGTTGCTATGCAGGTTGAATGTGCTTACTTGCCTCTTCAAAAAAAGACACTGTGTGAAGGGCTTATGAATGGATTTTTCTGGTCTTGCTCGGGTTGGTCCTCAGAGAATGAGGGGAGAAACACTTCTCTCCCTGTATTGTAATTGTCTGACCTTAAACTGTAAGGCCTCTTGGGTGCTAAGAACAAGACAGGAGGCCTGGTCCATTTCAGAAGGAGAGAAGAGTTCTTGGCTGTATCTCAGTATCTACTAGATTGATAGGAATTTATAGCTAAATTACATTCTGATGGATTTCTTTTCTTGTAAGTCTGTGTATCTCTCCAAAGGAGACAGATGTGATAATGGGCCAAGGCACCTCCAGTTCATTCAGAGTCTGTTCCCAGCACTGAAAGACCACATCTGTTTGACTGAAGCTATGAACATCCCCAAACAGTCACAACTTGTTGCATGCAGACATTGACCCTGGACCTAGAGTGGAGCTTCTGGAGTGTTTTATCAACCATGTAAAACCAGACAACTAGAGCAGTACTGGGGATCATTTTTCACACCAGCTTATAATTTTTAGGTCAGAGGTAGTGTCATAAGAAATTTCAATTGAAATCACCATGGCAGTGCCAAGCACTGTAGGATGAGGGCCACAAATGGGTATGGTGGAGCTGCTACTGGAATTTGGAGGGGCAACCAGAGTAGGCAGGAGGTTTCAAGCAAGAGATGGACTAGGACCTGGGACTTGACACCAGGCTGACTCTTATCAGGCAGATCATGGGAGAGAGAATGTACACAGGTGAGTTCAGATAGAGTGACTTTCTTTTCTTCCTTTGTTCTCTATTTACTAAGTTCTTATTCTCTGCCTGGGATAGTGCTAGGTACTATGATACAGCAGTGAATAAGACCACAGGGCCTCTATCCTTATAGAGTCATAATTGACTCATAAAGAGACCTATTAAATGACAGATAAGTAGATGATTAAATTAATGATAAATGATAAGTAATTGATTGCACCAACAACTGATTAAACTGTATGAGTTGTGTCAAAGAGAAGCACAAGATGCCTTGAGCTTTCCCTATGCCCATTCCAAATAACTTTAACTCTCTGTGCTTCCTTTTCTTCTTTGGTAAAGTGGGAATAATAATAGTACCTACTGATAGGTTTGTTGAAGGATTCAGTGAGCTGCTATTTGGAAATCACTTAATATAGTAGCTGATATGAGTAAATGTTCAATGTTGGCACTTCACTTTTTATATCTGGAGAAGTAGCCACATATTTTCCATCCTAGGCTATTCTATACTGTTGACAAAATGGCACAGCTAAAATGTCCTTAGTTTCTTGTCCTCAGTTCAAAGCTTTCTGAAGTATAAAAGATAAATTTTCCTCAAGGGAAAATATTTAGATAGATAATATCTTGTTTAAATTAAAGGCTCCTTGATTGGACCAACAATATAGTTCTCAACTCTGCTTAATTCTGGAATGTCCATTAACACCTCACTGGTTATTGTCCATGTGATGGTGATGCCCAGTGATAAAGATAATTAGTATTAAAGTTTCTCAAGCACTTCTTAAGTGCCTTCTGCCATTATCTCCTTTAATTATCCCCAAACCATCTGAGCTGGAAACCATCAATACAGTTTTTCATTTGAAGGGAACAGACACTGAGTGTGGGTCAAGCAGCTTATTCAGCTGCACTCAGGAAATGGGAGATGAGGGATTACAGCACAGTCTGATTGGTTACAGGGTTCCATTTTAACTATGCTATACAATGTTCTGGGCCACTGGTGGATGCCATCTCCCCATGGCCCTGGTACATTCAAGTCCAGGAACCCATTCCTGAGATGTGGAACTTAGAACCTATTTTCTCTACTGTCTCTGATTTCACCCCAAAATATTTTGGGGGAGACATTAGTTAAGAGACTTATTAGAACCTTGCTGTGATAGGACCTTGCCCCACTCACCAGTCTGTATGCAACTAAACTGGAAAATGGTAAAATCTTAGATCACAGCTTAAAAGAACTGAAGCAATTTATTTTGGTCTGATAGCGTAATGCCTAAGGCATTTGACTGCTAACCAGAAGGCTGGTGGTGCAAACCCACCAGCCACTCCTTGGAAGGAAGATTGGGCGATCTACTTCCATAGTGATACCACCTCAGAAACCCAAGGAGAGGTCACTATGAGTTGGATCTAACTCAATGACAGTGAGTTTGATTTTTTGGTTTCATTTCATTTTTGTTGCTTCATTTTACATTTTTTGCTGTTAAGAAGGAGTGATCCAATATAATCTTTTTTTCAAATTTTCTTCAAGATTGATTTATTTAGCCAGGGAAGATAAACTTTTCTAGGTACATCCTATTTGGATTTACCAATTGTCTGGAAACTTAAACTTGAAGCTGAAATGCCTTAGTGGGCAGAAGCAGACAACAGCTTTCCCAAGCCATTCTATCTCATGTAATTCCCTGAGGTCACTGGACTTTGTTTAAATTTTTATTGCTTTTGAGGTTGCTTTATGTTGCCAACTTGGGTTTATTGGGTAAGAATTTTCCATTCATTGCTTTTGTCTTACATGCTTTTAGGATCTGTAGACTAATAGCTTATTGAAATTATTACTTTGTCTCTAAAAATGGTGTGGCGGAGGCATCTGACCTCTAAATTCATAGTGGGGAGAGACAATCATCTGCCTCAATAGCCCAAGGCTGATTCCTATGAAGCAGAGGTCAGACATGCCTCTACCCTCTTACCTTTTTACTAATTCTGACACAAACCATCATCCTATGGCACTCTACTTCTTTGCTGAGTTCTAGAATTCATTACAGTGGCTACACAGAACTCACAGACAATAATCATGACTATGGGGTTTATTAGCACCGGTGGTGTACTAGATAAGGCACTTGACTTCTAACCAGAATGTCAGCAGTGCAAACCCACCAGCTGCTCTGTGGAAGGAAGACTGGGTGATCTACTTCCATAAAGATTTATGGCCTTGGAAACCCAATGGGGGTCGCTATGAGTTGGAAATTACCCGATGGCAGTGAGTTTGGTTTGGTGAGTTTGAGGGAAGTAATGGGTGACAATTTAGGATCAGAAAAGACTCAGGATACAGTTCTCCAATCAGGACAGTGTCTTCTCAGCTGTGCCTACAGGTACACCTCTTTCTGGCATGTGCAACCTCTTGGCCATGTGATCTCTTGGCCTCTTGGCCTCTGGCCTGTTTGGGCAAGGGTTATAAAGCTCTTTTATCTCTGCCCAGAAGCACCCCACTCTGCCAGCAAGCCTCCTGCCTGAAGGCTCTCAACTCTCTTGCTCCATGGGTCCAGACCCCACCACTTTTTCTATATTCTGTTGGTTTCCTACCGGTCTCTTTGTTCTCTTGCCACCATTTCTCTGCTGCAGTTTCTTACTATCTCTTACTGTCTTCACAAGTTGTTATAGCTCTTTGCCTCCTGGGTGGAGGAGGTTCTCTTCACAGGAATCCCAGGTCGAAAGGACACACTCCACTTGCATCTCTTCTTGGTGGTAGACAGGTCTCCCTTACTGCCTCTGGCATAGCTCATGTTAAACCTAGCAGCATGGCAAAACTGACCAATCTCCACATAAGGGTTCCATACACTTTATTTATATGGCTCCACTCCCACAAGTGGTTTATATCCCTTATTTATCAGTAAGCAATCCAGTCCCCTTGGTGAGCCTCAGGCACCTCACAGTTGTGTAGGAGCTCTGGTAGCATAGTGCCTAAGGCATTTGACTGCTAACCAGAAGGCTGGTGGTTCAAACCCACCAGCCACTCCTCAGAAGGCAGGTTGGCAATCTACTTCCATAGTGATACTGCCTCAGAAACCCAAGGAGGGGTCACTATGAGTCGGGTTTGACTAGACAGCAGTGAGTTAGTTTACCCAGTCATAGTATGAATCTAGGAAAATTGGAAGTTGTCAAAATGAAATGGAATGCATAAAGATCGATATCCTAGGCATTAGTGGGCTAAATGGACTGATATTGGCCATTTTAAATCAGAGAATCATATAGTCTACTATGACAAATTGAAGAGGAATGGTTTTGCATTCGTCATCAAAAAGAATGTTTCAGAATCGATCCTGAAGTACAGTGCTGTCAGTGATAAGATAATATCCATATGCCTACAAGGAAGACCTGTTACTACTACTATTATTCAAATTAACACATCAGCCACTAAAGCCAAAGATGAATAAATTGAACATTTTTTTGTTACCAACTTCTGCACTCTGAAATTGACCAAACATGAAATCAAGATGTATTGACTATTACTGGTGATTAGAATGCAAAAATTGGGAACAAAAGAATCATTGGTAGTTGAAAAGTATGGCCTTGGTGAAAGAGATGACATCAGAAATTGCATGATAGGATTTTGCAAGACCAACAACTTAATCATTACAAATGCCTTTTTTCAACAATGTAAGAGGTGCCTACACAAGTAGTCATCACCAGATGGCATATACAGGAATCAGATTGACTACATCTGTGGAAAGAGGCAATGGAGAAGCTTAATATCTTCAGTCAAAAATATTGCCAGGAGCTGAGTGTGGAACAGACCATCAGTTGCTCATGTGCAAGTTCAAGATGGAGCTGAAGAAAATTAAAACAAATCCAAAATATGACCTTGATTACTGAGGTAGTTAAGGTTATGTGTCAACTTGACAGGGCTTGGTTTTGATTGTCTGGATGTAGTTATTTGAGCTAGCTGGATGTAGTTATTCCCCCTGATGAGACAGGTAATAAACTCCATGGTGAAATCTACTGTGAGCAGCTGAGTAGCTGCCTTAGGGATGTGGTCTGCTTCCA